ATAATACATCACTGAGAGTAATTATGGAAGACCTAAATAAATGAAGTATATCATGTTCACACATCAGAATACTCAGTATTGTGAAAGTGGCAATTCTCCCCAGATTGTTCTATTTATTCGGTGCAATTCCAATTAAGATCACAGCCAAGAAAAGCCTAAGACAGCATACCAACTAAAAGTAGTATAGTATTCTAAATGGCATCCTGGAACAGAAAAAAAGGCTATCAGGTAAAAATGAAGAAAATATGAGTAAAGTATGGGCTTTAGTTAATGACAATGTATCAATATTGGGTTGTTAATAATAACAAATGCACCATAGTAATGTAAGATGTTAAAAACAGAGGAAACTCTGTATTATTTTCCAGATTTTTTTTTGTAAATCTAAAACTATTCTAAAAAAAGAATTCTATTTAAAAAAATCAAAAAACCACAACGTAAAAAAAAAAAAAGCCACAGGAGAAAAAAAGCTTTATATTTATTACCTTCAATGGCACTTTTTTCCCCTTGCTTTTTGAATAGAGGCCTTGCATTGTCATTTTCCACTCAACCCTGCAAATTATGGAGTCAGCCCTGCCTCTGTCCCAACCTCCTTCCCAGGCCTCAGGCTGAGATTGTTCTGGGCACTTGTGAAAGAAAGTCCCTGAAAGGCCAAGACTAAGCTGAGACTCTTGCAGCCCAGCAAGGAAGGCCAAAATAAAATGAGTTCTGTGCTCTGAGCTTGTCTGGACTCCAGGAAACACAGCAAATGGTGTTTCCTTTTTTTTTCTTTTGAGACCGAGTTTCGCTCTTGTTACCCAGGCTGGAGTGCAATGGCGCGATCTCGGCTCACCGCAACCTCCGCCTCCTGGGTTCAGGCAATTCTCCTGCCTCAGCCTCCCAAGTAGCTGGGATTACAGGCACGCGCCACCATGCCCAGCTAATTTTTTGTATTTTTAGTAGAGGCGGGGCTTCACCATGTTGACCAGGATGGTCTCGATCTCTTGACCTCGTGATCCACCCACCTTGGCCTCCCAAAGTGCTGGGATTACAGGCTTGAGCCACCGCGCCTGGCGGTGTTTCTAAGGTAAACACCAGGCCAAATGATGTTCCTAAGCAAAGACCCTCCCACCTCAGGCTGGTGGGCAGTATGGATTCATAGCTTCTTAGAACTGGAAGAGACCTAATTCATGGTTCTACCACTGCCCTCGCCTCCCCAATTTATGGAGAAAAATCATACAAATAGAGGCAAGGAGAGGGGTAGGAGGCTGCCACACTTCCAGAGCCTCCAGGGAGTGAGCGACAGCATGAGTCTTCTTGCCCAGACCCAAGCCTGGTATTGTCTTCCTTCAACCCAGGTCTGGACCCGCCTTTCCTGTCCCTGTGCACTTCCAGTAGCCTGAGTTGCTTGCTACCTGGCCTTTCCTCAGAACCTCTTCCTTGTTTCTCTGAGCATATACGGGGTGTGTGTGAGGAGGCCTCTGTCATTGCTTTTCCTACTTAGGATATTTCCACTGGGGCGGGGTAGGGGAGGAGCTCCTGAGAGCTACAGGCTGAACAGGGCCTGCTGCAGTCAACAGCTGCAAGCCTGAGAGCTATTAGGGCCATTAGGAAAGAATGTAGAGACAGCAGCCACAGAGTGGGCTGGAGAGGGCAGAACTCAAGTCCAGGCAGACAAGCCCTGCAAAATGAAACCAAGGGGACTCACACAGAAGGAGAGATCTGTTCCTGCCACAAAAGTGCAGCCTCCCCATCAACAGGAATCCCTGGAGGAGAAACCCACCCTGGGCTTCATCAGATCCTCCAGAGAAGGGCCACACCCCCTGGAGACTGTTGTCATGACAGCAGCTGCCCCCGCGCTGTGTGTAAATGTGGGTGGAGCCCACTGCCCAGGAGCAGTTTTACATAGCGGTTAAAGATACAGTCTCTCATGCCACACTGCCTATGTTTTGTTTTGTTTCGTTTTCAGAGTCTCTTATCACCCAGGCTGGAGTACAATGGCACAGTCATGGCTCACTGAAGCCTTGACTTCCCAGGCCTCTAACCTTAGCTTCCCAAGGAACTGGGACCACCTGGCACCACAGGTGTGCCCCACCATGCCTAGCTAATTTTTCATTGTTTGTAGAAACAGGGTCTCACTATGTCACGCAGTCTGGTCTTGAATTCCTGGGCTCAAGCTATTCTCCCACCTTGGCCTCCCGAAGTGTTGGGATTATAGGCATGAGCCACTGCACCTAGCCTTAGGTTTTAAATCCCATCTCAGTTACTTACTATCATTTGTGTTTCCATGGGAACAATTTGTCACCTCCCAGAGCTCAGTTGTCACACTTTTGAAATGGGTTTCAAAAGACTTAAACCCTCACTAGTAATAACGGACCAAGCAATATACCCTCATAGGACCCTAAATCAAGAGTATCAGATCAAATCCATCAGAAGGACAGCCCACTCCAACCTCAACCCTATACAAACAAGTAGCAGACCACATTTCTTTGTAAGAAATGACTGTCATTTGGTGGCAGAACCACCTTTACTGTATTCCCTCTTGAGAGTCCTTTCTCTCAAGGGAACCCAAGATCAGCTACTGCTGGGCAGAGACTTAGAACCCACATGGAGATCTGTTCTTTATTCCTCCTTTCCTGCTTCTATTTCCTCACATTTACCAAGTTCTCATCAAAGTTTGATTTATACTGGTTCAGGAGCTTTCAGGGACTACTGTGTCTTCTATTAGTAGCACTAGAAAGCAAGCAATCTGAGAAGCCAAATGAGAAGCGAGAGGAAGGGAACTAGCCCAGCAGGGTGTACTCCTGGCTGCCACACACAATAAGGAAAAGAAATTTTTTTCACTTGGAATCAGAACTCTCCTCTGAGATACCTCTATATCTTTCCTGAGTTTGCTGACTTTATCATCCTATTTAGTACTAGAGGCATGCTTTAAATTAATGATTTGCAGCTAATATACTGAATGATAGATCTGGATTGAAAGATTGAGGGAGTGAATCTAATGAGACAAAATTTAATCCAGGAAAAAAACAGAAGCATCTACACTTGAGTTAAAACTAAAAAGATTTACAGAAGTAGATTAACAGCTTGAAATATGAAACAAGGGAGGGGTCTAGTTGACTTCAACTTCAACTGGATTCAATTGTGTGATATGACATTCACAAAATCTACTATAATTTTAGGATGCATCTATATATGTATAGCACCCATTCTAGAATGAAGGGAGTGATAAGATCACCCCATTCTGCACTAGGCAGGATATTCAGTGCTTTCAGAGACATTTACACAATCAGGAACATGTAGAATGGTGAATGACTTTGAAAAAATATGTCACATCAGAAATGCTGAAATAACTGGGGAAGTTAAACCCCCAAAAAGAGTATTGGTGAGAACATAATTGTTTAAGGATTATGTGAGATAGTATATTGAAAATACTTAGTGCAATACCTGGCATAATTAATTTTAATATTAAAAGGATGTTTATTAGTAGCATTGTTAGCACTATGTCATACTATTATTATTACATTATTATAGTTAATGCTTATAGAGTGCTTTCTATGTGCTAGGCTCTATTCCAGGTCCTTTACCTAGGTTGACTCATTGACTCAGTTACTCCTCTTATCAATTCTATGAGGTAGGTACTATTACCACCTCCAATGTTGTAGATGAGGAAGCTGAGTCACAGAAAGATTGAGTAGATTGCCTAGTGTGTCTCACAGAAGGGAAGGGGAAATAACCAGAATAGAAGCCTTGGCAGTTTTAAGCTATCAAAGACGAAAGGCACTTTTATTATTTTATACCAGTTCTGTACCACTCCAAAGGGCAGAGCGAGGACCAATGTGTGTAAACTACTGGGAGGCAGATTTTAACTCAACAGAAGCAACAGTCAATTAATCAACTAATTAATTTTAAAACTGAATGATTAGAACTTTCTGAGCTTTCAATGAGATATCTTATAAGATAGTGAGTTCTTCATCACAGGATGTAAGAAGAATAAGGATAGAAATAAAAAACTGAATGAAATGGGACTTCTCTAGGAAAGAAACTATTCAAATGAGAAACCAACCCTTGATAAAAAAAATAATAAGAAGGCATAGTGATACTTGGTTTAAAGACACATATCACAGACAAATTTGAAAATAAAAGTTATAAAAAATGATGTGAAGGTAAACTAATATTTGTCTAGCTGCTATCTCAGCACGAAGTTAATTAGATGTTGGAGAAAAGCAACAAACAGTTCTTAAAAAGGGAAATTTCACATGAATTTCTGTTCAGAAACTTAGTAAACAGTCTGGCTTTAAAACAAAATCCCAGGATCCTTGCAGATCAGATGGCCACCTACCCTGAAAGTGTAAAACACAGAGGGAAGGGAAGTAGTGTGCCCTGTGGAGGAAAGAGCATCTGCATAAGAAAGTAGCATCCAGCTTGATGTGAGTAGGTGAGAGGCAGGCATCAAGTTAAAGATCATAAAATAGCGTTGGATCCAAAAAATACATATTTCAATGACAACTGAATATCCTAGCATGATTGTAGTCCTGCTTCTCAGTATGTGGTCAACAGAATTATTGCATAGTTTAATATGGAATGCCCTCCCAGCAGCATCTAACTTTTGGGGTCCAGCAGTCCCAGAACTCAAATATTTGTTGATTTAATGAATTATTATAAAATTCCTCAACCAGAAGAACCAAGAGGTGGCTGGTTAAGGATTGAGAGTCTCAGTAAAATCTATTTCTTCTACTATGAATAACTACTGAATAATTTATATATATGTACATACATATATATATTTAATGTGTAATATATTCAGTGTGTATGCATACATATATATATATATATGCGTGTGTATAGATATACACAGATAGAACAATGCCAGGCTCTCCACCAAGAACTATCCCATTTCAGATAATAAATAAGTTTTCTGGACTATTTGTACTTAGATGGACAAATGCATATTTGATTTATGAAAATCAAAGTATTCATTCTTTTTAGATGTACATACTTTACAACCTTAACTCTCTCTAAAAGTCTAGAACTTAATGATTACCAATGTAGGTCTGGGGGCTCAAAAACCAAAATGTGATGTCAAGAAAAAGTGAAAGATTCTCTCCCATGAAAGTCACAAGAGATGAAAACATGCTGAATGAGCCTAAATGGACATGATGGAGTTATGGATGTGGATTAAAACTGAGAGTGTTGGAATATAAGGATATAATATTGATTTATGAAGGTGAACAGTCAAATGTTAGTGCAGGATCTGAACTGAAGGGGAAATAAGGGTCCTTGGTGGCTGAGGAAGGGAGGAGGGTAGAAAGAGGTGGTACTAGGGGAAGCAGCACACAGGAAGAGGCAATATCACCCGAGACTAGATGCTGACCATCTCTGGCAACCAGGAAAAGGCAAATACAAAGAGAGATGTGTGACAATGCCTGGTATGTCTGGGGTCAGGGGACACTAGCAGGCACTAGCAGGTGGCTGCAACAGGGCCGCAGGTTAAAGTGGTAACTGGGTATCTGAGTTCGGCAGTGACGCGCGTCCCTCACGTGACCAGGAGCCTATGTCTGCCCAAGTCCCTCTCGTCCTGGTCTTTTTTGCCTGTCCACCATCTCCCTATTACCCTTTGGTCGAGAGGGAAAGCAGAAGAAAGTAAGTTCCCTCCACCCTCTTAAATCGATGTGAGTGTCGGCGCTGCCTAGTAACCCTGGGAAGGGGGTTGACAGAATCGGGATGGCGGAGTCCAGGCCTTTCCCTATGCTCCAGCCTCTCGCCCCCCGCGCCCACATTTCTGTGCAAAAAATGGTGGTGGAGGAGGGGTGGGGAGGTGAGTGCCGCCCCGCCCCCCCGGGAGGGAGGTACAGACACTTGGAAATAGTTTCTAAGAATGCTTCGTTTCCACTTTCCCAACTGAAAAGAAATGGCAAGCTTTGCGGGGTGGGGAGGTGGGGGCACGGAGTACGAAGCTTGATGCAGGGTCTGAGGCGAGAGGAGAACCTGAAGGGGGGGGTGCAGGCAGTGGCTGGTGCCCAGAAAGTCGAGGGTGGGGGGTGTCAGTCAGTCCGTCCGTCCCTCCTCCCCACTCCCCGCCCCCTACCCTGTCTTGCGTCTGTGTGCAGGTCTGCTGGTCACAGCGAGGCACCTCGAGGAGAGGACGGCTAGGAGCATACGACCCGGAAAGGTTCAGGTCAGGAAAGGTGGTACGCAGTGGACTGGGACTGGGGCGCGAGGGTGGACGCCGAAAGGCAGGGAGTCTGCAGGCCGCACTGTCCCGCCCCTGTCACTGCGGGCGAGGCCTGTAGCAAAGCCTGCTGGGAAAATGGTGGGTTTTCGGGAAGGAGGGGGCGACCGGGAAGCTGTGGAGTCGGGAGAGCCGGAGAACCACCGGGAAAGCGCTAGGTTGAGGACCTGGGCCCCGAATCAGGATAAGGCAGGTATTGGAACCAACGGCCTGGGTGTTAGTCCAGCCGCTTAGTATTCTGACTCTTATTCTGCCTTTCTTGTCTCCTAAGAATAACTGTGCTTGAAGAAGAATATTCCCAACATGGACAAACCACGCCAAGAAAATGAAGAAGAGCCGCAGAGCGCGCCGAAGACCAATGAGGAGAGGCCTCCGGTGGAGCACTCTCCCGAAAAGCAGTCTCCCGAGGAGCAGTCTTCGGAGGAGCAGTCCTCGGAGGAGGAGTTCTTTCCTGAGGAGTTCCTGCCTGAGCTCCTGCCTGAGATGCTCCTTTCGGAGGAGCGCCCTCCGCAGGAGCCTCTTTCCAGGAAGGACCTGTTTGAGGGGCGCCCTCCCATGGAGCAGCCTCCTTGTGGTGTAGGAAAACATAAGCTAGAAGAAGGAAGCTTTAAAGAAAGGTTGGCTCGTTCTCGCCCGCAATTTAGAGGGGACATACATGGCAGAAATTTAACCAATGAGGAGATGATACAGGCTGCAGATGAGCTAGAAGAGATGAAAAGAGTAAGGAACAAACTGATGATAATGCACTGGAAGGCAAAACGCAGCCGTCCTTATCCTATTTAATGTGTTAGGCCTTTAATTCTGTTTTGCCTGCTAATAGTATTGCCATTGCCACCTGGACTTTCTGTTTGCATTTTCTTCATGTCTATTCCCCTATTCTGAATTTTAACTTTTTGCGAGGCTTTATTTTAGATGTTTAGTTTGTAACTAGCTTAAAGTTGGGGTTTCCCCCCTAAAATCTGCAAGTTTCCCCTTTCAATCATGAGGTCTACACATTTGCATGAAAGATGTACATTATATATTGTGAAATGAAAAAAGCAATTTTCAAATGGTATGGATTGTACTCCATTTTTGTAAAAAATGTATATATATTAATATGCAAAGAAAAAACTAAAAGTATATACTTCAAAGGCATAACAGTGGTTATCTGTGTGATAATAGGTGATTTTAAAAATTTTTTGCTTTATCTGAATTTCTCATTTTTTCAAGACAAACACGTTTTGCTTGTGTTGCAAAAAACATATAATGAAAAAATATCATGCAATTTTGAAGAAGACTGTCAATCAGCTTATAAAGACAATGTGGCACTTAATAAATACTTGTCAGAACTTAAAAAACATAAAAGTGAATCCTATGTTTTTTCTGATCTCTTAGGCACAAATACAAACCACATATTGATTATATTTAATAGATTTTTTTCTCTTTTAAATAAGAATAATACCTGCTTTACAGTGCTACTGTGGGACCAGATGAGAAAAAGATTGTGTGAGCTGTGTTTGAGGTTTTTATTCTACCAGCAGAGGCAGGACCCTAACCCCCCCCCCCACTATAGATTCCCTGCAGACACAGGGGAAGGTACCCAAAGGAGATCTCACTTGTGCTCACAAACAATTCCGGTGAGATTCCAGGTGAGTGCCACATTCTATTCATGTCCTGCTGTGCTCTCAGATACCTACCGTATCTGCTAGGCACAGCTGCTCCTTCTCCTGGGTCCTGATCCTTCCACTGGCTCCCATCCCCGCTGACACGCTGGAGTGCTCAAGGTGCAAAGCCTCACTGATTGCTCTGGAGTTCCTGGTGGTCCCAAGCTGAATTGTGTCTCCTACAGATATATCAATGCCCTTCTTCCAGCTTTAATATTGCACTTAGCTAGGAGGATACCATCCCAATGCTGCTTAGACCTCAAAGTCTTTAAAAAATGTTTAGTAAAATAGTTCTTCCATTTTTTTTTTCATCCAGAGCCTTCCTTTTCTCCATTGGACTCATGAGTCCACCTTTTCTCCACTGGACTCAAACATGATTCCACTAGGTCCTGGGCTAGGAGACAAAATTAATGAGCCAGACACCATGCTGTATAGTCAGAATTGGAATGTCCCTCCCAAATATCCAAGGATAACTATCATTTTCATTACCTGACTTGCCTTTGGGTGAGTTCTCGCTCAGGGGCTTCTGGCAAGCTTGCCTTGCCAATTCAGCTGACTTGCTCAACTTGTGTAAATTAAAGAGGAAGATAATGCTTAGGCTCAAACTAGGACATTCCCCTTCTACACTGCTCCATATAAGCAAGACACATGCAAAACTACTTTCTATGACATTAAAGTACTATATATGTATATGTACATAAACATGTATATATCAGATATAATTATGATTTCTCTATTAAACTATGTTTATAAAACCTAAGATTTTGTTTTATTGATCCTGTTCTAGAAATACAGAGTGGTTAATAATGATTAAGAACTATTACCCAGGGTAATCCCAGGGCAGATCACAACGTCAGGAGACTTAGATAATCCTGGCTAACATGGTGAAACCCCATCTCTACTAAAAATACAAAAAAATTAGTTGTCTGTGCTAGCACGTGCCTTTAGTCTCAGCTACTTGGGGGGCTAAGGCAGGAGAATTGCTTGAACCCGGGAGGCGGAGGTTGCAGTAAGCCAAGATCGATAGTGCCACGTACTCCATCCTGGCTACAGAGTAAGAGTCTATCTCAAAAAGAAAAAAATTATCACCCAGTCATGAACTCTGAGATTCTCTCTGATTGACTATATAACCTTTACTTTGTTGACTTTTCTAGAGCTATGATTTGCAATTCCAAAAGGAACATGGTGAAGGAGGGATTGTTAACTGAAATTTAACATTAAAATTATTTAAATACTTTATATATCAGTGTTTCTGTTATTAAAACAAACAAACAAAAAACCAGAAACCTGTTTTCTCTGGCAGACCCAGTAAATCTGCTTTTTTATAAATTACCACACTAAAAGTTGGACAGCCACCAGCATATACAGTGTACCGCTGATTTTATTGAGAATATGATGTAAATGGAAGAAAATATAGATAATTGTGTCAGAATTAAAAGGGTGAAAGCCTTGTCCAAGCATATGTTTAAATAAGCAACTAAAGACAGTCTTAACAATTTAGATTTCTTTTTTTTTTTTTTTTTAATTTTTTATTGGATTATAGGTTTTGGGGTACATGAGCAGAGCATGCAAGACAGTTGCGTAGGTACACACATGGCAGTGTGCTTTGCTTTCTTCTCCCCTTCACCCACATTTGGCATTTCTCCCCAGGCTATCCCTCCCCACCTCCCCCTCCCACTGGCCCTCCCCTTTTCCCCCCAATAGACCCCAGTGTTTAGTACTCCCCTTTCTGTGTCCATGTGTTCTCATTTTTCATCACCCACCTATGAGTGAGAATATGCGGCGTTTCATTTTCTGTTCTTGTGTCAGTTTGCTGAGGATGATGTTTTCCAGATTCATCCATGTCCCTACAAACGACACGAACTCATCATTTCTGATTGCTGCATAATATTCCATGGTGTATATGTGCCACATTTTTCCAATCCAGTCTATTATCAATGGGCATTTGGGTTGATTCCAGGTCTTTGCTATTGTAAACAGTGCTGCAATGAACATTCGTGTACATGTGTCCTTATAGTAGAACGATTTATAGTCTTTCGGATATATACCCAGTAATGGGATTGCTGGGTCAAATGGAATTTCTATTTCTAAGGCCTTGAGGAATCGCCACACTGTCTTCCACAATGGTTGAACTAATTTACACTCCCACCAACAGTGTAAAAGTGTTCCTTTTTCTCCACATAACAATTTAGATTTCTTACAGCAAAGCAAGACCTTACACAAAATTAAAATTCGAGAGACAATTTAATAGAAATGTATTTTCCATGACTGATGTTATATAATGTCTTACATTCCATACTTTCAATATGAGTAAAATGTATCAGAAATAAATTCAAAGTTCTCCTTTAGTAATAATCTCAAAAAAAAAAAAAAGACCTATACCCTTGGCTTTCTTTTGTTTTTATATTTTTACCATATAATGCAATTTGGGGGAGTTCTTCATGTCTCCAGACCACTCTTCAAGCCAATGGCAGCCTGATGGTTGCTGGTCAAACTGGAATTCTCACTGGAGTGAGATCAGGTTCCAGGCTCACTGGAACTAGTTTTATAAGAGAGGATAAATCCATCCCCTTAACCCTCAGATTGGTGGTACTTAGGCAGGATGTGGAAGGGCTCACTCAGGCCACATTCCCCTCTGGGGTGGGTCTGACTTTGCTTTCTCTGCTCCAGCCTGCAGCAGGCACAGGGCCCTCTTAGACTGCTGGACAAGCTGCCCTGGACAGACATACCTGGAGGAGGATAACTGACTGCCCTATTGTAGGGCAGAGCACTTTGTCTTTCCCTCCTCTTCCCTTTCTCTTTTGGGGAATATTTTGTAGGGGAGGAGATAAAGCCCCAAAGTGTCCTGACAGGAAACATCCATTGGTATAGTCTTTGAGCAAACAGATGTCTGAGCAAATCTGACCAGATCACTTGGGGTTGAAGTAGAAGGGGCTGATCCTTCTCTCAGAGTCAAGGGAAGTAGTCCCCAAGACGACTGGGACAAAAATGGGGTTAGACAGCACATAGAACTTTACCCATCCCTCTCCCACCCACCTTGCTCAGATTCCCAGAAGGGCCTTGAAGTGCCCTGGCCTGTTTGATTGGTTCTGCAAGGACTTTAGCTCTCTGTCTGCCTGGTGAAGTGCATCTGATGTCTGAGTTACCCCAGGCCCTGAAGTACAGGAGACCCTAGGTAAAGGGAACTTGCAAAGACATGTGGTCCTACAACACAGAAGAAAAGGGGTGTCATCTCCTATCTGAAAACCCCCATGTGTTGCAGACCCAGCTCATGACTTGGGAATCAAAAGTGTCAAGCTGTGAATTGGTGGGAAGTTGCTTTTTAAGGCATTGGTGGTGGAGGGTCAGCAGCATCCACAGCCCCTGGGACCCTGTTATAATTTTAATGTGTTTCCCACAATTCATGTGCTGGAAACTTAATCCCAGTGCAACAGAGCATGTGAGATATGGGGCTTAATGGGAGGTTTTTAGGTCATGAGGACTGTACCCTCACAAATGGATTAATGCTATGATAAAAAGGACCTGCAGGAGTGGGTTCTCTCCCATTCTTCTGCCACATAAAAACACAGAGTTCCTCTTTCTTGCCTTCTGCCTTCTAGCATGTAAGAATGCAATAGGAAGGCCCATCCCAGATGCCACTGCCTTGATCTTGGACTTCCCAGCCTCCAAAACTGTAAGCTAATAAGTTTCTATTCCTTATCAATTATCCTAGAACTGGGCATGGTGGCTCATGCCTGTAATCCCAACACTTTAGGAGGCTGAGGCAGGAGGACTGCTTGAGCCCAGGAGTTCAATACCAGACTTGGCAACATAGTGAGATGCCATCTCTACAAAAAATAGAAAAAAAAATTAGCTGGGCATGGTGGTGTGTGCCTGTAGTCCCAGTCACTTTGGAGGCTAACATGGGAGGATTGCTTGAGCTCAGGAGGTCAAGGCTGCAGTCAGCCATGATGGTGCCACTGCACTCCAGCCTGAGCAATAGAGTGAGACCCTGTCTCAAAAAAAAAAAAATCCTGTCTCAGGTATTCTGCTATAGCAGAAGAAAATGGACTAAGACAGCCTCTCACCATCTTCCTCCCACACAGAAGGCTGGTATCTCTATCATATATCCAAGTAGCAACTTGCCTGGCCAGCTTCAGAGCAGAAATCATTGAGCATCCAGGACCATGGAGACAGAGCTCTCTGCTAACAAATGTTCCTCTGCTCTTAGGAAACGATACATATGACTGGGAACTCCCAGGAGTGGTGAGGCAGCATAGAAAGGATCAGGCTCAGGGTCCCTAAAAAAGGACTAGAGACAACTCCCTCCCCCGTTGGGAAATACTAATCTAAATAAATAATTATTTTTACAAATGAGGGATAAGATTTTACAGATAAGAGGCAGATCCTGTGTTCTAACTCAGATTTGTTTGCGTCAAATTCTGTGTTCTTCCCACTCTACCACACTGCCACCAACTTAGACGGTAGCTTTTCAGGGATTAGGGAATAATTTATTTAGACTTGCTGAGTATGGTATTCTTGTTGGTTTGTGAATTTGAGTGAGTTTTCACATTTTTATCTCATTCCAGGTAGAAATGTCTAGTAGGCAGTTAGATATGTGTCTGAAGTTTAGGAAAGAGATTAGAATGGAAATATCAATTTTGGCTTATGATACCAGGAACATAGCAAGTGGTCCAGGAATATTTGTTGAATTAAATGAATGAATGAAGAATGCAACTGTACACTCTTCTACCCTTTTCTATGAACATGTATTTTTCAAACAGAAGTGGAATTCTGTTGAACACACTGGTTCATATCCTGTGTGTAAAAAATAAACTTTTTCTTTAAACTTTCTCTTTACCAAGACAATACCTGCTTCAGAAGAATGTTTACAAATACAGATAAGTGCCACTCGGTGACCAGAGCCAGAACTGTGGGTCAAACATAGCAGGGAGGAGAGAGACTATGAGAGGAGAGCTGGTAGAGAGACTTGCTATTTGGGAAGGGAATGTCTCAACCCTGACTCACATTGGACCCACACAAGTATCAGGTCTTCCTGGGGATTGAGGTGGCCCAAGAGGCAACATGTAGTTATGTGGTTTTTTCTTGTCTCAAGTCAAGATAAGCGTATAAATGCATGTGTGTGTTTGTATGTGTGTTTAAACCGAATTGTCTTATACTATTTTCACTTTTTCTCTGATTATAGAAGGTATATGTGTCAACTAGAAAACATATGGAAATACAGAAAAGTATAAGAAGAAGATGCCTCTACTTCCTCTAACAAGAGAAAATAATTATTACTATTGAGGCCCATGTACTTACATTGTCTGTGTATATCTCCTTTTATGTATTCAATCCATCTACCTTGTTATATAGTATATATGTATATTATATTACATATATAATACATTTAAATGCCTTTATGTTGTCATTTTTATATATGTAAGTATATCTTACAGAGCATATATTTTCTTTATTCTCTTACTTTTATTTACATATGTGCCATGACATTCATCTGTATGAGTATTCCATCAACCACATTCCTTGATGGTGATGTCAATGAAGAAAATAAAATCACGCTCTTTGGTCTCAGGGACCTATGTCTGAGGGCCACATGTATGGATGGGCTCCCCAAAAAGCATAAGGTAAGGAAAATACCACTGGCTTTGACTGGCTTTGTTTGGAGTTGAGGAAAGAAATTTAAAATGGTCAAGCACCTGCTTTGGTCAGATACTTCAAACTTGGGGTTTCCTTTACTCCATTTAACACTTTTAGGAAAGT